CCCCCTCCTCCACTCCACCCTCTCTCAACATTCGTTCGTCATGTTGCTCTTCCTTTTTGCGACGCGACAAAGGCAGACAAAACGATTGGCATTGTTGTTTTTGTTGTTGCTGCCGCTGCGCTGCTGTTTGCTAATTCCAAGAATACAACAATTTACGCGTCCGTCCGACATGGCAAAAAGGCAGGCGGCATGCGGCAGTCGGCAGAAGAAGCGAAGCGAATGAAGGGTACACGTCCCGCCACTGTTTCTCTTTCCCTGTCTGCCATTTTCAATGCACCGTTGATTTCTTCAGACAATATGCACACTGCACAAGTCTCCAAGATCGGATACTGAAGTCATCCAGGCGATCAATCTGCCAGGGTATCAAATGTGCGACCCCCGCGGACAGCACATAGTCCTCCACTGTTGGTGTTTATGTGTTAAATGCGCGCCCTGGAAACTTCCGCTCTTTGGACGCTGAGGTATGCAGGCGAGAAACGGCAAACGATGGGGAATGGGAAAGGGAGACGCAGGCACAGCACAGCGGAGTGGCCGCCCGCACACATAATCTGACCGGAAGTCACTTTGTTGTTATTGCTGCTGCAAATATTTGCACAGCCTCTGCATCGGCAACCTGCACCAGCACCGGCACCGCTCCATTCGCAGATTCGGAATCGATGCCAAATGAGCTTAGATGTGGGTCTCTCCGTTAGTTAGTCGCCGTCGGTCGGTGGTCGTTGCGGCGGCCACTCAACGCCTGCTTAATTAAAGCCCACACAAACTTTGACCCAAATCAACTGACTGCTGCAGCAGCAGCAGCAGCAACATCAGCAACAGCAAAATTTTGGACGTAGGCCGCTGTGATCAGACCACCCCATCCCCTCTGCTACGTAGCTCTTCTAACTGTTGTCCAACGCCCTCTTGTTTGTTGTTCTTCCTTCCTCTGTGGCTACCCCTACCCTCTCGCTATCTCGTTCACTCTGATTACTTTATAAGATGCTGACGCCAATACCAACGAGGGAGAGAGATGTCCAACTGTCTCTCACCGTGGGCCTACGACAAAGCCAACAAAAACAAATTTGGCCACAGTGGGACAGGTGGGAGCTGGATTGGCACAAAATCTACGTTTCGATGTTTCCACTTATTGTACCGCTTCTGCCCACTGTGCAACGAATATCTGAGTTGAACAAATTTGGAGCCCAACGACTTTTGGCACGTAGGTGGCGGTGGCTGCTTGGTGCGGCAATATCTCGGGCCAACTGTTTCTCTCTCAGAGTATTTCTTGGTGTTGTTTTTCTGTGTTGCCTGTCGGTGAAGGCAGACCAGTTGGCAGAGTAGTCTCTGCCCCTCAATGAGGCAGCAAAGCAGCGGCAGCCATCAGCATCTCAGCATTGTGGTCTGGCGGAGGGAGGAGGGGAGCCCACTGGCTTTTGTGATGAATTATCATGAAATCGTAATGAGAGATTCGGTCGATTCGGTCGGTTGTGGCCTTGGTTGTGTGCTGTTTGGGAGATGGGAGATGTGCCACGTGTTTGCGACTCGACGATTTTCCCTCTCGCAGTGGAAGAAACCATTGTGAAAATTGCTTAGGCCCAAAAACAAATACAAAAAACAAAAACTTGTTCACCAAATTCGTTAAAAACAGCAAATGAGGCAAACAACTCTCCCATGTGGACACACAAATATGTAGAGGAGAGAAAAGCCTGCTGGGGGAAAAGCCATGAAATGCCGCACTGCCATTGCAATGCAATGCGTGGAAATGCAGTGGCCAGAGCTCCGCTCGAGTCGAGTTGAAGTTGTTTTTTATGGCGCAGGCGCAGCAACAGCAGCTCCAGCTCGAGTTCAATTTCTATAAAAGGGTCGCCGCAAGAAGACGGTCGGTCGGTCGGTCCAGCGATCAACGTGGAGCTTTGTATCCGCCTCTGTCCATAAAAAACAAGAAAGAGAGAAGACAGCGAGAAAGAGAGGGAGAGAGAAAAACGCAGACAGACAGACACACTCTCGTAAGTGCATCGTTCATTGACTCCCTTCTTCTCCACTCTCCACAAAAGAAACAAAAAAGAGAGCGAGTGAGTGCCTGATCAGTGGAATGGAATGGTCTTGGTTTGAAACTCTGCTAAATCTAATTGAATTAAATTCTGTCAACGGAAATGCTTAGTTTATGGCATACATAATGCTCCACCATACGTATCATATATGTACATATTTATCTGTGTAGTACATAGCTGACTTTCCTATATGCATGGCTGGGTTGCCCTAGTTGGCCCCATCTTAATTGTTTTAATTCCGAGAAATGCATACAAAGTGCCATTTAATTAAAGTTAATTCAACATCAGCTGGAAGCTGGACCAACCAACGCGCGCGACATGCATTATGCATTTTAAACCCCTTCCCGCTCGCTCGCAACGACTTGATAATGTTTTCATCGTCCTGGTCCTGGACATGGTCCTGGAACCGGAATCTGGTCGTAACAGCATCCCAGGGACTGACCACAAAGAGACCCATAATTGCCTGGACTTGATTGAATTTCAAGGTAAATTAGCGGCATACAGTTCCCTGCCACTGGGTGGGGTGGGGCAGAAAAGTTGATGAGCACAACAAGGATTGGGACCACAGTGTTCCGCAAACTTTTCTCCCAACCCCCGCTCCGCTAAGCCGATTACAGTTTGGTTTTTGAAGGGGGAAATTTTACTTGAACATAAAATGGAAAATGGGAGAGAGAGAGAGAGTGAAGCATTAGAGGATAAAACAGATGGTTAAAGGAGATTGAAGGACCGTAGAGCCTTTACCACAGTTTAAACTTTAAAATGATTTATTTTCATTCATTTTGACCCATTTGCAGAGTTGCTAAGAGTATTATTCATTCGCCACTCCTCCAAGCTTCCGCTGTTCCGCTCTACTCTGAACTTCCTGGCACAATTCTAAACGCATTCCAGAACATATCCAATACTTAAAGATAGATGTCCCCCACTTGGAAATTGTGTCACAATGCTTCCTCCATCTATGCCACGGCCCAGCTGTTTTTGAGCATTTTGAGCTCTGCACTCCAGCCCCCTCTTCCGAAACCATGAACCCAACGATAAGATAAACCCAGCAAACAGAAACCATACACTGGTACATACATACATACATATGTACATATTTATATATTCTTCGTTTCAGTTGGCAAATTGTGAAATTGCTTTTATTGCATTTGTGGAAAATAAATATCATAAAAGTTGGAATAGACACAGATCCCCCCATTCCATTCAACAGGCCGAAGCGCAGAAAATTCATTTACTATTTCGACAATCATTAAGAACACTTCAACGAAAAGAATCCTTTAAAAGGTGACACTGGATTTTCACGCTCTGACACTCTCATTTCTTTTGTTCGCTTTCCTTTTTGGGCAAATGTCAAGAGGATCGGTTTGGGTTTTTGTTTCGGCTCATCGGTTGTGTGTGTGTTTTCCATGGTATTGCCCAGTCGTAAAACAATATTTTTCCGGGAGACAATTCGCCTAATTACCTGTGTGCGTGTGTGCCACAGGTAGATTTCTACTCTTTACGGATGGACGGACAGTCCTGTACCATTTTTCTGTGTTCTTGACGTCATAGATGTGTTCGTCTGGTAGTGTGTGGATTTGTGTTATGCTAATTTGTTGGCCTTTCCAGTTCTGTTTTCATCAAATGAAATCGACAAACAATGGCAGAGGGGGGATGGGATGGATGCTCTATTGTCAATTTGCGATATTAGCAGAGATGTCGACGCTCTGAATGGAACAGAAAAGAGCAGGCGGAGTAGATGAAGCAGACGAACGTGCGTACGCCGGATCTAAGCAGCTTTTGTATATGGGGGCTACAGCCCCGGGGGGTACAAACACACACATATAGAGTCCCCCCAATTGTGGCTGCTTGTGGGAGAACGGAAATTGAAGTGATATAAATAAAAATGAAGCCACACCACACCATTCAGTCAGTCAGTCAGTCGAGTCAGATAATTATATACATAACATATATAGGGTATCTACAGACATATGTATCTGATTCTGTCTATGTGTGGCTTTGAATCACGAGAGTCGAGTCTCTCCAGACCCAGTGACATTTTTCTGAATGAATGAATGACAGAGCCAGAGATCCATGAGAACAATTCACAGACACACAGACAGAGACCGAAACCTAGTCAACAATAGTGGGAAAAGCTCTTTGTTTTGCTTTGCTTTGTGTCATTATTTACGACTTCCCTAATCTGTCCCTCAATTTAAATTTTATTTAATTGATTTTAAGAAGCTGAAGGAGCAGCAGCAGCAATATATTATAATTATAAATACATTTCTGCATAATTCGGCATTGGATAAGGGAGCTGCTGGAATGAAATTATTGCAAGTTTCAATGTGGTTTGCGGATTTCCGATAAGGAAAACACAGGGAAAACTTCTTGCAAAAATTAATATCATCATTTTGATATATGGATGGACATTTCCTATATGCGGCTATAAATATTCATACATTTGTGCTCTTATATAATGGGGTTCCATCAATCAAAGCTAGTCGGCGGCGGCGGTGTCACACCGAAAACAAGTTCAAGAAGGTGAAATCTATTTAAATCCCCAGACGCCGACGGGGCAATATGTGTATAATAAAAAGTCATGATCTGTGGTGTGCATATTTTTATATGGGATTCTAATCTGTGGCTTATCAACCGCATTCCCCTGCCCCCTTAGCGAGAGGCGTGCAATGCGAATTACATCTTTCAGCATTTATAGAATTTCTCTCTCTGTCCCTCCACCCGACCGGCGGATCGGAACGGACGTTCTTTTCCGCAAAAAAACACAAAAAATAGAGAGAGAGGAGGGAAATACGCGGCATACTCGTATACTAATAAATAGATCCACGAAAATCTTTATTTATGGGAAAGACAGTCCAGGGTGGTGGTGGGAGGAGGCGGAGGGAAATATAAATAAATAATGCTTCTAGGAATGGAATGTCTGTGGATGATTAATGCGAGCAGGGAGCAGGGCGGGGGGTTGGATTGGGGACTCACCTTGCAGTGCGACCACGCGACATCCGTCCTGCTTAAGGCGGCGGTGCAAGATATTGATGATCGAATCGTTGGCCCCCATTCCGGTTGCGGCCACATCCTGCTGCCCGGCCACGCCCTCGCCGTTGTACAGGATGAAGAGGCTGAGCTTGTAGCCAGTCTGAATGCGATCCTTAAGGTCCGGCGACTTGATGGTGGCGGCCAGATCTATCTTGCCGGTGGCAAGGCGCCGCAACACGATGCTCGGGATGCACAGGTTGACGGCGCCACGGATATGCGATTCACTGTACTCGTGGGAGCCGCGGCAGTCCAGCAGGATCAGCTCCTTGGCATCCAGGGAGCGCAGCTGGGCCTGCAGCCACTCTTTGCTACAGCTCTCGTGCTCCGTTTCTGGCATTGTAGAAAGCTCTCTTGCACACTCACACACACCAAGATAAATAACGATGGAGGTGTCGTAGTTGTAGGTGGGGGGGAAGTAGAAAAATCCGTTCGAGTGTTATTTTCTAGAGTTCGCTTCTCTCCTTCTCTCTCTCTCTCTCTCTCTTTAGCTCTGGCCAAGTTTCGGTTACAACAAAGTTTACATCATCTGCTTTGGCTTCTTCGTGGAGCTGCTGCCGCACATTTTTTTCTTTCTTTCTTGCTGGTTCTTTCTTCTTCTTTTGCTTTGCTTTTGTTGCTGTTCCCCTTTCTGGTTTCACAAACACACGCACACTCGCGCAAACACACACGAAACGAAATATGGGAAACAACCGAAAGAGACTTTAGTTAGTTTTATTTCAGTTAAGAACTTAAGGAAATTGCAGTATTCGACGTTTCACGTTCACTGTGTTTTCTGTGTGTTTTGTATTTTTATTTTGTATTCTGTTTTCAGCTTCTTCTTCCGCTCCTACTCTGCACACACTGATTTCTTTTATTTTGTTGTAGGCTTCACATTCATCGCACACGCACACAGGTCCGCGCCAAATCACAACCGTGTGTATGTATGTATCGCTGCAGTGAGCGCCGTTGAGTGTTATGTGTGTGTATGTGTACTCACTCGCGTTGGAGACCGTTCCCCGTTCCGATACACCAATTCTAAACGTGTGCGTGGTGGAGCCCCAAACAACGGTTGAGCTACTGTATCAAAGGTATGTTGAAAATATTTTATATTTTTTGTTTTATATCAATGAATATTTTTGTGGGCCACTTCAACGGACTTTTCCGAATTCAGAATTTTTGCGACACCAATTTTCTTTCCGTTGTCTGTTGTTTCCTTTTCCGCGACACGTTCATTCATGTTCAGTTTTGGGGTTTTTGGGGGGCGGCAAGGCCGTTTCAAATGTTGCTGGCTTTTCAAAAAATGTTTCGCAACAAGCGTGTTGTGCACTGCATAAATAAGGTATGGCCAACGGGCAAAATGGATCTGAAACAGCAGCGCTTGCCTAGATAAAATCCACCACAGTTCGTAACGTACCTTGATTTTTGAACAGAAATCACGGCATATTGTTGATCGAACACGGTAAGGTGAGGTGTTGTAGGGGCCTTTTAATGTTGCGGTGCCTGTTTTGCCTGTATCCATACTTTTCAGGGTTCCAATTTTACGCTCAAAGACTCAGTTATGCGTTACAAGCGTGAGTCCCAAATGATGCTCGGCTTCATGTGGCAGGCAAACACATTGAGATGGGAAGTTAAACATGAATATGAAAGTTTCTATACCCTATCTGCGTAAATTATAGGTAAAATCTTAATGTATCTAAGTGTCAGGACTTTTTCCCAGAACTAACTGTTTTAACCATACAAATCAAAAGACCATGCAAATTTATAATGAAACATGGGAAGTGTTCCGGAATATTTATATTTCTATTCCATTCATTATCGGCAATATATGATGTACATTCATAGATTATGGTGTTTGATATATTAAAGATATCAGAAGGTCTTTACTATCTGTTTTCGAAGGGTATTTCAAATGTTGCACATTTCATGTTGCTGGCATACATAGCGGCGTCACCTCGTTGTGCTTAGACACTATTCCACTCGATTCTCTCACTTACACACATGCAATTTAGCCAGCAACATCACCCACACACACAGACAGTGTTGTGTTGAGAGGGAAGTGGAGAGATAGTGAGTGAGAACAGGCAGACACATGTTTTCTCTCCGACTCTACAAAAAGGTGCACTGACAGCCCGCTAGGAAATTTACTACGTATTGTGTATTTGCAATGTTCAATATATAAAATATTGCTGCTTTTATTAGCAATCAATGAGATTGCATTCCCTGCTCCTACCAAAGTTCCATTGCATATTTCTCACCTGCCTTGCACTGCCATTCATTGTCTACACTCACTGGCTCCACTCTCTTTGCCTTGTCTAGTTCACACGTCGCTCCCGCACACGATGGCAAAAGTTTTGTGTAAAGTTCATTGATATTTTTGTGCACTGGTATGCGTGCTCCTCCTGTACGTGTTTGCGTGCCCCCATGTTGATTCATTGAATTTCGCCAGCAAAACTAGCCCCCGCCGACTCTTGCCGCCTCTCTCGCACACATTCAGTGCTCTCGAAGTTGGAGCGTGAGAGCCAAAGTAAATACTCTACATGAATGCAAAAGTTAATGGAGCAGGGAAGACTCTATGTGGGTGGGGGAGCCCACTGAGAGAGTTTCGATTGTACAGTGGAGATAAGGAATTAGGGATCATTAATGAAGTATTTTGCTCCATCTCCACTGGGGCTAGGCTTGGGCTCCCGTTATTTTGGAGACTCCCAGAAATGTTTAATTTTATAACCATGACCCTGATATTTACACACAAAAACCCAGCCCACACACACACGCACACACAAAGGCGCGCATATAAGGACAGTTTCAAGGATATGCCGTGGAGGATAGCGCGTGCAAAAATTTCTCCACAACAAAAGTTTTAGCGCCTGCGCCGGCAGCAGTAGCGGCAGCTTTACATAAATGTATACCGTTAGGTAAACCACCCAGAAGCGGAGCACAGAAAAACGTGCTCTTTATGTACACACACACACACAAGTCGAACACAGAACGGGCACAACGACAACGAAAGTGCGACTTTCGAGGAGAGAATTTTCATGAATGAAATTCTCACCCAAAAATCGTTTGCCCAAGTCCGTGACACAGCAGCAGCAGAAGCAGCAGAACCGGGGGAGAGTGGAAGATGGAGAGAAGCAGAAACAGAAACAGAAACACCCACGCACATGGGCGGGGCAGGGCAGAGGGTTGCGTTGCGTTGCTCATTTTCGATGGGGTTTTTCGATTCGAAGGCTGTGGGTAGTGCAGGAATCTCAGGACATAACGCGTGGGTGTTGCCTTGAAATACGGAGGCGGGGAAGGCAGCCTGCATGTGGGTGGGCGGCTAGGTGTAACTTCAAAAAGCTTCTAAATTGCCTGCCTGCTGTAGCGGGGCCCCGCCCGGCCTTGGCTTTGCTTCTACCACCACAGGTAGCAGTCAAGGTCAGTTCTGCCCCCTCTCAAGTTCAAAGTCCAAGTGCCGCGCACTTGACAAAGTAAAATATTTTTGTTGAGAAGGGAATACCCCTAGCACTGGGTACTGACTAAATTTACTCAATTTGCGAATGAATGAATGAATCACTTGCTGCCTTCGTGTTATCTGAACTATCTTTGAGGACTTTAATCAAAAATTGAATTGCATTTCTAACACGATTGCCACTCGATTTCGCCAATGTCTGCTGACGGCATTTATTGTGGCTATCGTCATTGATGAGGCAGGCGTACACTCGTATAATATCATTCTGATGTGCGTAGTCACTCCAAGACATGACCAATTTCCTAAACCGATGATGCGTGCAAGTGATGAAAGTTCTGGTGAAGAATGCTTCATCAAGTGGTGCGAGCAACTCATGATCCGATCTCATGATTTATGTTCAAGGCGAAGACCTTATTTCCCTTATGCATAAATTTGCAATTGGAATTTACCATGAACGTGCTTTAAACTGAAATTATTTACATGTCTTACACCATGTCAGGGACCCCATTCCATAGCAGATTTAGAATGGAAGCCACATATCATTTTCCCACACGACTCGCTTTACTGACCTAAAACAACTCGAAAGGGATTAGGCGGTGGGGACCTCCCTCTGACTATCGCGTATTCGTGTTTCCGTTTTGCGGATCAGACAGACTTGTCGCAGAATTACACACACACACAGACTACCCACTACTTCTTTTGGTGTCCAGGCCCCCAAACAGATTTTCTGTGAATCACGCGCCAGCGGATGTTTGTGGGCGCCACGAGTCTTGACGATCGACGTGCGTTGCGTTTGACGTTTGACCAGAACAGGCCAGGCAAAGGCCCCTTCCACATAAGAAAGAAACGAAAAACGTTGAAATGTTCCATTCCCATCTCCATCTCCACATACCCACTTGGATGACGTTGTTCCACCAGTCAGCAGGATGCTAGGAGGGGGAAACAGGGGGCAACAGGCAGATGCGAAACAATCATTCAGCTTTGACGCCCACGGGCACGAGACCGACCTGCGATTGATATGAAACAAACTGGAAGGCTGGAGGGACCGACCTGACCAAATGACTGACTATTCAGCGAATTGAAAACCAAATGACGTTGGTAATGGATGCCTCTGCCTCTGCCTCTGCCTCTCTGTACGGGCCCGCCTTTTGCCCTCTGACTCATTCTACGGTAGCTCTCTGACAGCAGCAGCAGGGGCAGTGGCAGCAGCAGTAGGCTGCCCTGGCTCCACGTTTTGTTCTTGAGAGTGAAAGAGAAAATAAAATAAAATAAAATAAAATACGAAAAGGTACACCTACGCCCCAAAATCAAAATCCTTTTGACGTCATTCGAGGGTAGCTTTGGCGAATTAGAGATTAAAATAAGGTTCAAGCGGCAAAGGTGTGGGAAGTGCTCAATGTGGCATGGAATGGGTTAAGCAAGAAAGAGGCAGCCTAAATGGAACTTTAAAGATGAATTTTTGCATGAAAATGCAAACATGAAGGCCTTGAGAGGGCAATTTTTGACATGAAATATTTGATTATTATTTCGAGGTGTTCAGCTTGAGGAAAATTGGATTGGATCCAGCCTTGGGAGCTAAACAAGAAGGAAATACTAGCTATTGGCATGGTGAAGCTTCTGGGGATGCTACGTTTTATTTATGTACCAAATTGAGGTGGAATATGGTCAAGAATGGAACTCTTTGTGAACTCTTTTTCGATTATCTTGGGATTATCCGACATGGGCATGAATTTGATGGTTTTAATGCACACTTTTAGCTTCGGAAATGCTTCCTTTTTGCTCTTGGGTAGTCTTTGCTCTTCCCTTTTAGATACCGACTTAAAGAGTTGACACTTTTCTTTAGTCTAGAAAGAAAATTCAAGCTCAGAATTCAGTTCTTCTGCTTTTGCCATTCATTCTGCAGCAACTGAGCGACCAGCCATCCTTCCTTCAATGGCGGCGAGGGGCTAACGAAGGTTAATGCGACTCAGTGCTTGACCTCCCGGGTCAAGCTGAAGGCAAATTAATTGCGAGAATTGGGTGAGCTGAAGAGACACCAAGGGAGAGAGCCACAGAGAAGAGTTCTCATAGAGAAGCTTTCCTCGGGGCGCTGTGCTCTTGTAATTGATACAAAAACAAAACATTGTGAATCCAATTGCAGCCAATTGATTCAATAAAAGTGCTGAAAATGTTGAATGTTCGAAAGCGAACTCCGCGCTTAACTGGGCGATGCTCCCGAAGTGGATTTTCAATTGCTTCGCCGTGGCACTTCCGTTTCGAATGCTACGTACTCGTAGCTGGGTGTCTGCTTTTATTTTTGCAGCACTTACTATGTGTGTTGTGTGTGAGTGCGTGGCAGGTCCGTTAATTATGTTGACCCAAGTAATTTGTAAATCAAATATGGAGCGAAGCGCTCACGCTGCAGCGTGGGCGTCCCCGTTCGCATAAAGTGTCTGCCACACCCTCGTGCCCTGGCCTACCTGCCCTGCCCTGCCTGCCACTTGTATATTGTAATTTGCCACACAAACACACACACACAACAGAGTGGCAGTGGCATCCCCCAGCACCCATTGTACGCCCACGCAGCAGAGCAGTCAGCAAAAAAAAAAGGAAAGCAGCAGCAAAGTGTTTCGGTGGTGTGTGTAATACACCCACAAAGGTCTATATACAGTTTTATTTTTGATAACGCTCAGCGGCGGAAACATCGCACGCCCACGACAACCAACGCCTGGGCAGCGCCGCCCGACCCGACCAGACCCGACAGCGGAGTCAGCGTTTTTCCAGGCCAGACCATGCCATTCATTTCCACCAGCTGCTGGCTGCTGTGCAGCCCGCACAACAAAAAAAAGACACACACACACACACTGCCTGCTACAACATTTTACGCATTCCAATCAGCCATGTGGGCGTCGTTTCCCTTCTCTTCTCACGTTTGTGGTACATAAAGCCACCAACACGAAACGAAACGAAACGAAAGCCAAGCGACAGAGGGAGAGAAACGATACAAAAAGCAAACTTATGAATGAAAAGCTTCGAGCTACGAGCTATACACACACCGAATATTGATTTGTAAAAGTCTCCAAAAGCGGAGTAACCTTGAAAGTAATAATGGGTGGACCCAAGAGGGGAACGGAGTGGTGCGTGATAGAATGTAATAATGTTTTATAAGCATTCAAATTACATTCCTATTGCTATAGTGATAAACCAATGCAAAAGCTTTTGTTACAATTATTCAAAAATAACGCACATTTAGCGCCATCTGCGGAAGCACATCGACGCATATATCGATAGGTATCGATGTCTAAAGTGTGACCACGTTTCCAGCGCCAACAGCTGGAACACAAACTAAATTTTAAAAAACTAAGGCACAATAATCAGGGTGATCGCTCGTTGAATTTACCTTGAGTTCCATTCCCACTTACCTATTTTATCGTTGGCAACATAAATTGAATGGGCCAGCAACAGGTGATCAGCACTGTTCCCCAACATGGGCACTGAATGAGCAACATTATGATACCCTTGTGAATGTTGAAAATGCCTGAGGGCTTCAATCAATGCCTAAACAAGTGTTAAAGATCGGTATATGGATACATAGAAAACATATGAAAAAGTTAACAGTATGTCCATCTAAGATAATGTTTATTAATGTTTTAAAGCAAACTCACGTAAAGTTTTATGCTATTTTTGTTGGTTGACCTTTTTAGTTTTACACTTAATTTTAAAACTTTCAAAAAGAACTCCATGACAACTAGGTAATCTTGTGGAGAATTGAATGATGATTCGAGGAAAGTAACAGTTTTAGAGCTGAGGGTCCTAACTAGCGAGTAATATTCAACAAAAGATCAAAGTCAATTGAGGAATATTGATTCAAGATTTTCACTACATTTACAGTATATTTTGAAAATGAAAGGGCAGGCTGGCGGTATATTGATAATTATTATTATTTTATATTAATTATTGGCAATAAATGAAATCGCCCGCCCTCGTCAGCAATCATCGATAGCAAGACTCATCAACAAATATCGACAGAAACGCCGAATATAAAAATATCGACAGCCCCAACATCGAACTGAAGTGCTGCAAACTCTTTGTATCCTAGAAAAGCATACAAATAATTGAAGATGGCAGATGTTTTGAAAAAGCTATATTAACGAATAAATATATTGTAAAATAGCCATAATTTCCGCTACCCGCTATTTTACAGTTTATTCCGCATTTGGCAACTGAAAAAGGCTAGATCTAGTTAGAAAATGGCTAAATTGGCAACACTCAGTACCTCTTCAATGCGGATTCATCGTCGAGCGACCATTCAATTTCGCTGTAGCGATTAAATACCAAAAACAAAATAAATAAATTGGAAATTAAATTAATAACATAATCTAAAACCTCAAATGGAATCGGATACGCTGGATATTGAAAGTGCGGCGGCAGCATTGAAAAAGTTGTCGCAAAGTGAAAGTGCGGGTGGCAAGGAAACAGAAACAGCAGCAGCAGCAGCAGAAGCAGCAGCAGCAGCAGAGGCAGCGGCGGAGGGGGCGCCGCCAACAAAGAGACAAAAGACTGTCGCAGAGGAGGAGGATCTGTCCGATAGGGAGGCAGAAGACGAAGACGAAGACAATGATGACGATGAGGAGGAGGAGGAGGAGGAGGAAGGGGATGAAGATGACGACGACGAGGTGCCACAGCTGGTGCTCGAGCGAGTTCAAAGCACTCAAAGCAACCTGCGTACATTCCGACGCATTCCCGTCTTCATTGTGGACTATCATAACGATGTGCTGGAGTTCATCTACCGCTGTCTGGGCACGCGACACCTGCCGCTGGAGAACAATCTGCTGGTGCACTTTGACTCGCATCCGGACCTGGTGATACCGCGGCACATAGCCGCCAGCTCCACCTACGACAAGGAGACGATGCTGAACGAGCTGAGCATTGAGAACTGGATCATGCCCACGCTGTACGCAGGTGAGTCCCACAGTGCATTCCAGTCCGGGAGCGTAATCTCAATCTCTTTTTGTGCCCTTTCCAGGCCACTTTAATCGCATGGTTTGGCTGAAGAATTCGTGGTGCAAGCAGATACCCACCGGCAAGCATTCGTTCAAGATTGGCCAGAAGGACGATTGCATTGGCGTGGACTGCCCGTTGGATTACTTCATTGCCGACGGCAACTACTGCAACAGCGACGACCTGCAGGAGTCGCGCCAAGTGGAGCTGCAGGTCTACGATGCAGACAGCGACAGTCTCGATCCCACGCAGTTTGTGACGGCGGAGGATGCCAAGGGCTTTGTGCTGGACATTGACTTGGATTTCTTCAGCACATCGAATCCCTTTCTGGAGATCTACAAGGACGCCGACTGCTACAACCAGCTGAAGGAGATCTTCCACTTTGTGAGCGTGGAGGCAGTGAAGAAGGCGGCCAAAGCCACAATTTCGGAGTACATGGCCACGGCCGACAAGCGGCAGACGCAGCTGGAGGCGCTGAAGCGCATCTTCTGGCACCTGGAGGAGCAGCGCAGCCTGGAGGGGCTCGAGCTGCCCGACGAGACGGTCATCAGCCCGGAGGTGTATGCCAAGATTGTGCGTCTGACCGAGCAGCTGGCGGACAAGTACCCGGACGATGAGATTGACTGGCACTTGATATTCGACTCGGGCAGCACCACGGACAACAACGGGCTGCCGCATCACATCAGCACCAGCCAGGAGCTGGAGGAGTATTTTGCGAATTTCAAGCGTTTCCTGGAGCGTCTGCCCGTGCCGCCCGTGGCCATAACGATGGCACATTCCGCTCAGGATGATTACTGTCCCCAGGATCAGGTGGCCTTCATCGAGGAGCGTGTGCTGCGACTGCTCAAGGATGTCTTTGGCGAGCGGCTGAACGACAAAGCAATCCTACAATACATGGACGATCCCTGGGATGTGATGAAGCTCTAAGCGCGCCCTCAGGGCAGGGAACACAATCTCGCATCGAAGCCAAGACTTAATCAAACCAATCCCCAATCTCCTTTTGAATGATTCCCCCAGAACTTACAGTGAGAGAAGCAAAGCAAAAATCATGCAAAATCCAATTATAAATTATACAAATATTTTTTATTTTCTAAATATACGCTACGTATTTATTATACAAAAAAGACACAAGGACAAGACAGGACAGGACATCAACGGAAATGCAGAAGGACGGTCGCAAAATACTGACAATGGGTGGAATGGAGTGACCTCCTTTTGGGTCACTCAACTTTTTAATTGTCGAGCAAATCAATAGGCCCGCCGGCCCACCTCGCGGCCACTGAGTCGAGGCATTTTCAGTAACATTCTGTGGCTCAGACGAGGTGGACACGACTCGCGTAAGTCTACTTAAAATCTAATTAAAACACTTTTCACTTGGCACTAAACTTAACTAAACTTGATCATGTGTGGGGTAATCTGTAAGGGGCTGGTCATTACAGCTCCTGTTTGTCACCTTTCGGATTGTTCTCTGGTGGTGGCAGCTCCTCCTTGAGGCACTCACGTTCCGCTTGCTTCTTCAGCACATGATCCTCACAGAGATGCTGCCGTAGAGACTTCTCCTGCTGCAGCTTGAAGTACCAATCGCTTATGGTCTCCTCGTACTCCTCGAGCATGTTCTCGCATTGGGTCTTCATTTGGGTGACCTCGACGGGTGGTTTGTCCCACAGCTCGTAGGGTATGCCCAGGTCCACCTTGACACCCTTGTCGACGAGGCCGTGCAGCGTTTGGAATGTCTGCGACATGCCCTTGGCGAATCTCGTGCTGTCCGTCCGCTCCTTGTGCAGATTGTAGGCCAGAACGCGTTCGCAGACATTCTCCAGCGACTCCAGCAGACGGAGTTCGCTTCTGCGGTACTCAGTGCGCTTCTTGGGCCGCACATCGTCCACAGAGTAGCCCGTCTCAATCACGTCGTGCGATTTGCCGGTCTCCCCAAGGCGCGCCTCCAACTCCGCGGCCAGAATTTTGCACGCCTCACAGCGATTGGCATACCGGACGCCCTGATCCTCCTCGGGAGAGTCCGCCTGGCAGAGCTGGAGGCTGGCCAGGACAGCCAGTGAGAGTATGACTAGGCGAGGCACCATTTCCACAATATGTTTGATAATGATAAATGATAATAAATAAAACTGACGTGGAAATGCAATTTTGAGATAAGAATTAGTGTTTGACCCTCAGAAAGATACCGAAATACCGAAATTCAAGGTATATGGTAAATCATGAATCATTTTCCTCAATTTTAATGTTCTATTTAATATTACCATTTATTCGATTCATAAATCAATTTTGCACAAGATTCGCTAGTTTTCATGACTTTCAATTTTTGCTTTCCTTACAAAATAAGGTTAAGACTAAGAGGTCAGTGAGGAACTGCTTGTTGCTTGCCAAACGGTATGGAACCGGTTAAAACGGCAACTGCCAGTATTGGCAAGTTATGTCGATTCGCTATCGATTTCAAAATTCACTTTTAAATGGCTGCCCGGGGCAACCGTTCCGGCTGCCACAACAAAGGAGCCAAGCCCCAAGCCCCCACACATACATATCCCCCCTAACACAGTGAGTGAAAAACTTTCACTTAAAAATGTCCCACAAGAGGTTCTATGTGCGCCTGGAGCTGCAACTGCATGCGGTTGGTGGAGAAAGAAACTTTTCTTCCTCTTCTTATGGCAAATTCCATTTGCAGCTGACTTGTCCGGGTGTTTGGCTGTGCTCCCACGGCTATCTGGAGGCCACCATCAAGACGTTGGGCTACTATTTCCGCACTGGGGCGATGGAGCCACGCTTCCCGATGCTCTGCCACGACACATTCAAAATGGAAGGCTACTTCAAGAGCGTCGGCTCGCTGGAGGAGATGCACGAGCTGCTGAGGGCGGAGCAACTGCAGATAACCATTTGGCAGAATGGGCGCAGGTTGGCGTACTTCATGGGCTCCCTCTCGGACGTGATGCAGCCCACGGTGCCGCGCCTGAGTTGTGCCCACAGCTCCAATGTGCAGCTGCTAATGAAGGCAACGAAAGCATTTCCGGGCATTATAGCGCCCAAGGTGGAGCTGTCGGCGCAAATGACAACGCAGGATCGACAGAGCGGATGCAGCTGCTACAGCCTAAACCAGAAAAGAAGTCCTCCAGTCAATCGTCACGCGGCGAGCCTTTGCACGAGTCGCCTGGAGCAGCCGCGCAAGCAGCAAACCGTTTGCCATGCCAAGAAATCGATTTGCTGCAGCTACTCGGGAGTTTCGACATGCAGTAGTAGGGCAACGCCAGAGCAGGAGCAGCACAGGCGACTCTCCACGTGTTCGGGCAGCACGCAGATTAGCAGCGTCAGTCAGAGCTCCTACCTGACTAACGGCAGCCACTCGTTCTGCTCCGATCCAGCAGATGAGCACGAGGCAAGCTGCGACATTTGCCAAAGCTACAGGCGCATCTTTGACGCTTATTAAATGGTTACACGGCACACGGAAGTGTTTCTATAATCTACATTTAGGGTATACAAAACTCTTAAAGATACGCCTCCAGATCGGACTGGGCAAAGACTTGAACAATCAGTGTTATGATTAGGTTGTAGGGCGCTGCACGCTTCACGTCCTCCTCGGTCAGTGCGTTCCTCAGCTGGATGCAGGAGCGCGCTATGCCACGCAGAGTGCTGTACACGAATGGCTCCAGCGGCAGATGCAGGCAGACGAGAGTGGCGTAGAGCCAACGGCCCAGCCACACATCTCTGATGAGCAAGTCCACGGGTTCTTCGGCCTGCAGCCACTGGCTGAGCATCTCCAGCAGCAGCTCCAAGTCGCTTTGGCTCAGGTGCAACAGGGTGCTGAGCAGTGGCTGCCTCTCGCGGCAAAATTTCTGCCACTTCTCAGTGTCCGAAGTTAACGGTGGCTCTGCAGATTGGTCATAGTAGTGGGCAGTCAGTTCCTCCCGCATTCCCAGCACCTGGGAGCGGGCTGACTGGAAACTCTTTGTCTGCTCATCGCGCCACTCTGGCGTCGGCAGCAGGCACTTGTGTGGCGGCAGGGGCATCTGCAAGGGAAGGGAGATCCATTAATAGAGATGCATCATGGATACTGGATCTCTACTCACACTTTCCAGCATCTCCTGGCCTCTGTCGGAGACATCTTTCTTAATCTTGGACGAGCGTTTGGTCACCACAGCGGGGCAGCGTTTGCGTTCGTAGGCCATGTGCATCAGATACTCCTCGCCGGTCTGTGGCGGCAGCTGGGGATCGAAACCGGCATCTGGCTCGCGTATCTCCAATGCCTGCAGCTGGAAAGATTGCTCATCTGCGTCGTGCTCCATGGTTCATCCACTTAAATTCAATTTTGTTGCATTGTAAATGTATATAAAATTAGCAAGCCGGCAGTGTGACCGCGCATTAATCGATAAAATATACCGCACTACCCTCAAAAATAGTTTCAAAATAAACCGTCCATTAACCGTAAATCTTAAATAATTTTACTCGATTTTAATGTTCTATTTATTATTACCATTTAGTTCGAGTTTTTAGCTCTAAAAGTATAATTGTAACTAATTTATCAATCAATTCCCCACTAGATTGGCTGGTTTTCATGACTTCCTTTCACTGGATTGTTCACAAAATAGGGTAAAAGTAAAAAGTTAAGCCAAACAAAAAATAGCCCAAGACGTTACGTGAGTTGCATGGAATGTTACGTAATTTGACAACTTGTTGCTTGACAACCGGTAGTATGGCATGTTATGGGTATTTGTATACCCTGTTTCCATAAATTGCTGCTTTTAAACATTAATAATGACTTTATTTTGGACTGACGTGCTTTTAACCTGTTCTATATTATTTGGTTAGTGACTACGCTCTAAGATCACGCCGGTTTTAAGGACTAGTTCAAAAAGCTTAATTGTAGTTGGGACACAAATTAAATGGCAGTTTCTTTAACCAATTTTGCAAACCACGACAATTGAATATGGGACATGTTTAGATGCTTTGTGGATAAATATCAAATGGACATCATCTTATTTCCATATATTTACAATTTAAATTATGACTACAAATCTATACTGAAGGTTCATACATTTATATCGCTATAACTGCATGCTCTTTCCATATTGTTTCAGGTTCGCCTAGTCTTGAAGTGCATGGGACTACAAATACCAAAACGCGGTATTTGAAAAAGTACCAGATAAATTATGGCACAGAGTTGCTAACGTTGGAGCGCTAAAATACGTTATTTTGAATGCCAAGAAGAATTGTTTAGCAGCAGTTAAAGTAAAGGTAATTAATTTATTATTTAAAGCTATTAATTGTATACCTTGTTCAAGCTATTATTACTCTTCAACAAGCTTCAAATCTTTAATTTCAATCAGTTAAAAATATCTCATTTGCGATTCTGCCCAAGGAAAATGTGATGAAAGAATATTTTTAATCAACGGAAGCCAAAGACACGACACTCGCTTGAATCTTGGCCGTAACAAAGCCTGATTGTCCTTTTGGACCCCCGTTCCACGGTGCCCGTCCGAGGCAGGGCAATAATAGGGCTATAAAAAACGCATTTCATAATTGTCTTATGAAAGCGAAGCGGCAGGTCAGGCAGGAGAACGGACAGGACACGGACCCAGACTCGGACAGGACTCAGGTTTGTGTGTGCGCTTGTCTTTGTGTCCGTTTACTTGGAACCGTAAAGTGGCCCCATAAGAAGAAACGTTGAGCTCAATTAGCTGTCAAGCGCAGGAGGAAGGACCTTCAGGAGCGTGCACCGCCACGTGGATGGATGGTTGGATGGAGAGGACTCTCTGGCTTGGTCCATTGAATTTGCAAATAGTTTGGGCATTACGAAATGCTTATTAAATTTCATGTTTAAGTGCAAGTTCGCATTTAAAATTCATTAAAAAGAACACTGTTGAAAACACATTAGCCGTGGGCCAAGAAGAAAGCTAAAGAGAGAGAGAGAGAGAGACAGAGCTACAGTGAGTGAGTGAGAGAGCGAGACATATGGCGTTGTTAAATTGAAATTGCAGACGTTTCGGCTGCTGCCACTGTGGGTGGGGCTGGACAGTAATACAAATACAAATATATGCATGTAAATATGTATGAATGTATGCATGTATGTGTTTATTAAGGAAATCATAAAAGAATTGTTAAAAGGCAACAAAAACGAATAATGGCCAAGGAAGCGAAAAGCAACGGGGCAGCAGGCAGTCGGCAACATGCGTCGAGCAGCAGACACAATGTCGCTATGGAGGGGATACTCCCTGCGGCCACCCTACTCACTCCTGGAACAATGCCACGTTTGACGCGTTTTCCAATTGTCCCTCCTAAGTGGAAAACGCCAGAGGGAAAACAGAGAGAACTTTGCTGCATGCGCCGAGTTCTTTGCTCCAGCGCCACTGCTGCTTCTGCTGCTGCTTGCACTGAGGTTGAAAGTCGTCTCCGCGTCTCCTCTCTCTCTCTCTCTCGCTCTCTCTTTCCTCATAAAACATTTATTTCCTTGTTTTCCTGCTTTTACTTCTTTTTTGTTTTGCAGTCAGCAAAACTAATTTCCATGCTTGCAGGCGCTCCACGCCGCTCCCCATCTTTAGGTGCTTGGGCCTACGTCTGCATAAAATATGGTACCAAAAAAGGCAAAACAAGTAAGGAATCTTCAGCGTTTATCTGTTTGTTTATTTGTTTGTTTGCAAGAGAGTGTGTGTGTGACAGTTTCCCAACGGTAAACGCCTCTTCCTGCTGCTCCTTTCTGCTGTTCGCCTTGAAAGTTATTTGTCCGCAACAGTTTTGTGCTGCATTCGCGACTTTTAACCTTTTCCTTGTGTATCTTTAATCATTTTTAATTGAAATGCAAAAGGTCCTCCATGTCTCGCTTCGTCACTGAACGATCCTACCACATTATAGGACCCCCCTTAGTTTCCGCATCATTGCTGTCCAATTTTTAGCCAAATTACTTTCATCGTGTGCGCTGTTTAAAATGTTAATCACATTTTGTTTGACCTTTTTGGTGTGGCAGAGGCTACGAAAACATGGATTCTGTTTAGGTTTTCCTTTTGGGATCATGTTTGAATGATTTTCAATACGGAACACAGACTTTAATGCATTGAAAAGGTAATTAAAAATTGTGAAACGGAAGGCCGGGTGGAAGAATCGACTATAAAATGATTATAAATCAATTTTAAAATAAAATTATAATTAATTTCACGCTACAAGTTGGGCTTGTGTTGCCTTAAGTGTTTCCGAGTCACATCTGGATTGAGTTTAGTAAATACTCCTTCAGCCATTATAGTTCCTATTTCTAGCAATTAGTCTTTAAACGATTATTTGTGGTGATTCGTTTGGTGCAAAAGTGTTATGAATTCTTGGCTTTGGGACCGGTTATGACACTGCCAAGCACCGAAATTGATCACACACTTAGAAATTCCATTTTTGATTGCATGCATTTATCCACAGTTTTCCTTTGTGGCAGCAGCGCAGCCCAGCCCAGCCCGGGCCAGCTTTCAGCTTTCATCTGCCAACACCCGTGGAAGTGCTTTCTCCGCATGCCCCGAAAATATGTGTATGCACTCGTATGAGTACGAGTATATTGCTCTTGTGTATAGAGGAGGCCGACAAATTTTTCAATTTTTGCACAAGGTTTTATTTTTCATCCGCCTCCTTCCATCACCCAAGGACACACACAGTCAGAGTCAAGGCCTCGACAGATGCGACGCCGCTGCCTCGCTGCCTCGCTCCCTCTCTCGCTCTCATGCTCTACGTATTTGCAACAAGTTTGAACAAAAAGGGGAAAATAACTGCCCCATGCAACTGCACCTGAACATCATCGGTGGCCTAGCGGCCTAGCGGCCTAGCTGACTGGTGGCTGCATTTTCTGTGCCTCTCAAGGCGGCAGCAACCGCGACGGCGGCTCGTGTGTGCTTAACCCCTCATCCCTCTGCCGTACGCTGCTGCCAGCAAACCCCTTTCCTGTGCTAACTGTTGCCTACCACTTTTCAAATCATCCACATCCGCATGAGCATCCGTAGCTTGGGCAACCTTGGGTTCTAAAAATATATATTCCCAGGCAGGCACGACCAAAAGCCCAAAAATGAGGACAAACACCGCAGGCAGAAGCTTTAAATACCCTTTTGAACATTCATGACAAATGTCAGCTACAGTAATCAATAAAAGGTTGAAGATTAAAGAATTAAAGATATGTACACTTGACAGGGGACTCCCTCTCAGTGCTACAAATATCTTGAGAAAATCACTCAAGACTTTGGCAACGGGTAGAGACCGAAAAAATTCGACAAGGAAAATGTTGAAATGTGTTTTTAATGCAGCAGCCAAAACAAAACTGAAGTAGGTCTGGCATTAAAACACGTGTTCGAGGGCAGTGAATCGGTTAAAATTTCATTTCAATTATTTCCGAAACTTTATTATTTCCGCACACTGCGTATGCGTTATATCCGGGCAGCAGGGCAGAGGAATGAAAACTTTTGTTTACAGCTGTGTTATGTTATGAATGCTGACAGAGAGAGGAGAACAGAGAGAGAGAGAGAGAGAGAGAGAGAGAGAGAGAGAGAGGCGACACAGCCACACTGTGATTCCGATTCCGTTTCGGGTTTGGGGCTTCAATTTTCTTCCTTTTCCTGTGGTTTGCCTGCTTAATTATGGACTAGTCCCAGCCAGGCAGTTGATGCTCCCAGCACGCTCCCTTCTTAATCCTGCCACAGCTTTCGTCAAATGGCTCGGACAACCACCACCCCAAACCCCTTCCTAGTCCAAGTTCTTCCAATCTGTGCCCAAATGCCTGTTCTTTGCCTGTGGACTGGTCTTTTCTGTATGTTCATTTCATTTCGTTCTGTGAAGTTTTCTTTGCCTTGTCCCTTTATGTATAAATTAGTTGGAGAACAAACACACATCACATGTGGTTTGTGCCATACAGACTCTTACTTGTATGTACAATACATATATCTACATATAAATGTGCTCTGGCAAATATAATTGAGTTTGCTTAATTATTTGGATTAGCAATTCAAGCGAAAATGCGCAGACAAGCAACGAGAACGACACAGCACGATTCATCACAGAGAATCAGTTTATTCATAAGGCCCCAAAGCTGGCAAGGCTACAGGAAGTTCGAGGGATTCTCTAAATACCGGACTGAGCATCAGTATATGCTGTTGAGGGGCTAAGGAAAACTTACCAAGAAACTTGCCAAATTATTTCTGATTTCCTCGACAACTTGTGAATTTGGCGGACGCTTGGCTCATCAATCTTTTCCGAAATCGATGGCATAGATATGCCAAGAGGTTAATCCCACAGACAAATAAATTATTAGAAAAGAAAGAAAACAAAGTAGTTGTTTTATTCAAAGAACAAGTACTGTAGGTACTGGACTCCTCCTAGTCTCTACCTTTGCTTCTACCCTTGATGATGCATCCTAGTATTTTCAGTGTTCAAATATTCCACATTCCCCTTTGCCAGTTCAAAACTTACCTCGTTTCCTCCTCGTTTAAAATGCAATTCAAATGAGCAGCAAAATATTGAAAGACTTTTAGTTGTACCATTTGTGAGGAGTTTATAATTTTTTTATTGAAATACTGCAAAATATTTGGCACACCTTTTTTGGTGGAACTTTCTGTGCATTTTTTGTACATTTAACTCAGCTTAACTTTAACCAAAACAGGAGATAGGGAATAGATGTTCCCCTAATTAGTATGCGAGAATATTCCCCCAGCATCTTTGCAACTTTTTCTGCTGCCAATCGAGGCTGTTCATAAATCATCATCAGTTGTGCAGTTGGGGCAAACCCTTGCCCAACTTCATCGGCTTCATTGAATCCGACTCGGGCATGTCACTCTCAATTAGTAGTCGGTCGTACAGTTCCAGGAAGCCAACTTGGGCAACTGGGCAAAGCCCAGAGATAAATGGGCAAACAGAATTAAATTGAAAATATTTTACCTTTACCAAAGATGAGAGGAACCGAACCGAAGCGAACCGTAAAAATGGAAATACAGATATTGTTTTAATTATTTGAAAAGTTCTCCTTTTATTGTTGCACGTTTCAACTTACTGTTATGGTTTACAGATGGATTTTTGTGGTTCATCTTTTGCCTTTTTTTGTTGCTTTCATTTTGTTATATAGTGTGACATTAAATATGCAATTTTATATATAATATATTTATATTTAATCATAGTCGTTGCACACCAATCGTAATCGAAAAACCAAAAAGGATGTCCAGGCTATGCACAAATTCATATTATACAATATAATATTGATGAATGCCAGTCGACAAATTCGCACAAATGATTTATGCATAACGAAGCAAAGGCAAAATCGAAAAACATAATAAAAAATATTCAACTTAAACTTATACAAGAACATATTTATATTAAGCCAGCATTTATTTAAATATCAATTATTTAACAGTACATTTAATATATGTATGTATATGTAATCTGTATAACTAGCATTATATAAAATTGATTTTGTTCTGCATAATCTATTGGGTCAAGCTCACAGAATAGTAGAGGGAAAAGTGGAAAAAAGCTCTGGGAGAGTCTAAGAGGTTTTCTTTTTTCGTTATTCAAGTGTATAGAGTAGGAAAGTAAGGCAGCAATTTATGAAGAATTTTGTTAATTGGGTTTGTGTTCATGCGTATTTATACATATTTAGTTTCGTTTCGTTTTGTTTCGACTATTCTTCACTAGAGGAAAGTAAGGCAGCAAGTCAAGAGTAGAGTTAGATAGTTTTGTTCTTTACTTTTGTATTGGTATTTCAGCAAGTGCTTTGTCACATTTAAGCCGCTTAAATATACGTTTATAAACACCCACACATATGTACATGTACACGTACGCGACATACATATTTTTGCTTGTATAACTACGTAATGTATATATAGCTACCGTAAATACATATGTTGTTTAAATATGCCTGGATTTCCATAATATATCATTCGCACCGCCCATCTAACAAGTCAGTACACAAATTTATTGATAGGTAGGTCACATTGATCTCCTCCTTCTGCCTGACGCTTAACGACTAAAGCCAATTATTCAGCACTGAAATGGTGTTCTACGGGGCTGGCGAGGAATGTTGATGGGATAAAGGCAATGGGGAGCAAAATACCAGAAATAAAATAACAGAAACTACATGAAAAATGTTTTAAAATTAAGGGCTTAAGCAGGAATACATTTTTTATTTGTTATACAAATTCTTACCGATTGCATAATGAACTGAAAATCCATCATCACACATATCCTTCCAATGCCCTCCACCAAAGTACTTTCCCTAGAGGGATGGGGCCTTGCCTGCTTGTAACAATTTCAACATTGGATAAATTCGATTTTAGGAGAAGAAAAATAACCAGAAGTTAATCAAAAAGTTAGGCACTTCCACTTCTCAGCTGTGACTGCAAAACAATGAAATGGTTTCCCTCCGCCCCCCTAATCTTTCTTTGTGGGAGAGTCTAGTTTTATATTTTAAAATCTTTTTGCTAAGTAGGAGCCTAGGAAATGCGAGCAGCGATTCGATTTTTATATATATAAAAAAATATTATTTTATATTTTATATATGAAACTCTGGCAAGCCTCTTGAAGCGGTTTACTAAATTGTTTAAGCCTTTAATTTGTTATCTATCCGATTTACTTAACTTGTTTTCATTTTTGTTTTGCTTTTGGATTCTTGTTTTGTGGAAAATTTGCTTTTCATTGATAGTTTATCACAAAAATGTTCAATACGCACTTTTTTCTGCACCCTACAGCACCTACAGCCTAAACTTTCTACGCCTTTTCTACTGATCTACTGTAGTTCCCCTTGCCGTGCGAGGGGATCACTCAAAGTCAGCCTCACGCAGACCTAATTTGCTCCTGAACCCCGACATGTGTTTGCCCAGACTGCGGCCAGCTGATGAGATGATGGATGAGGAATCATCCAGTCCGTAGTTGGCCTGATATGTGACTGGCAACTCTGGCGACGGGGCCAGGAGCAAACCTCACGTTCGCACAAACTTGTACACTATCAAGAATACCATAAAGGAGAGGGCCACCAGCACCACGGCGGTGACCACCTTGGCGCAGGTGTTCAGACCGGACTCGTGCGGATTCAGGGGCCGGGAGCTGGTGTGCGTGGCCGATCGGCGCCGCTTGGTGGCCAGGCCGCGGGCCAGAGCGGGAAATGCCAGGGATTGGGTGAAGGTCAGCTTGTGTATGGACTCGCTGAGACTGTACGGACCCACCGAACCCCTGGCTGCGGCCCTCAGCAGGACGTACTCCAGGTCGAGGGCATCGAAGAGGGAGTAGCGGGCGGTCATCGTTGAGGAACGTCGGCGGCCATCATGCCGGGAGTCTCGCTCCCGATCCGATTGTGGCTGCAGCCACGGATCGGAGACGCGCTGCTGGACGCCCGCCGCGCCCACAGCATAGGCGGAGCCGGAGGAGCAGGCGCCACCGCTGCCGCTGCTGGTGGCCAGGCCGCTGCTGCCAATGCCCATGCCCAGCCCGACCACACAGCTACCCACACCACCGTCAGCGCCAATGCCGCCGGATCCGCCCAGGCTGACCGCTGCCACGGATGTTAGCGACGACGTCGTCGATGACGAGGCCGAGCACAGCCGCAGATTCGTGGCCAGTCCGTTGTCATGGAACTCATTGGCATCCTCGATGGAGGTTTGGTCTGGTGATGTCTGCGCCCGTTCCAGAGCCGCCGCATGCTTCATCCTCAACGCAAACAGCCGGGCATGGTCCGGATGGAGCAAGGCGCTCGACTTGCGCCTCCCTCCATCTCCGCTGGGCACCACGCAGATGCTGTTCCTGATGCCCCGCCGCCCCAGCGACAAATTCGGCGAGCCCTGCGTCGGCGTACTCGTGGGCGACACGTGGCACGATCCACCGCCCGTCCGTCCCATGGGCAGGCTGAGCACACCCGGCGGGGCGATGAAGGCATTGGGCGAGGGCGATGCCTGCACCGAGTCGATGCCCGAGTCGCCGGCGTGCAGGGTATCACAGTAGAGCGAGCTGCGTCGATCCGTGCTGAGGGTCAGGTGATTCTGGCTGCGTCGGGCATTCAGATTGAGGTTGCTGCTGCTCCCTCCACCCACGGGGCTGCTGACATTCGTCTCCACGATGGCGGGAAATATGAACGATTGGCCATCTGCCTCGCCGCGCGGTGAGTCCTGCAAGAGTCCAAGGTACGTTTGAGTGGGGGCACAATTCAGGGCACAATGGGAATGGGTTTACTTTTCTTTTCTTCGGAGGGATTGGAGGACAGGGCAAGCCGGTTTTTAGGTGCTTTGTGTGAGTGTGAGGTGGGGGAACTCGGCCGTGGGGGAAGTTCTGGGCGGTGATTTCATTTAGTTAGGTGGTTCAAAAACTTTCGGTTTTTCGGGTGTAATATACATAATACATATATACGAGTAATATACAAGGTGAATTGGTGATGTCTTGGGTGTGGGGTGTTACTTACTTACAGCAGCAAAGACTGAACAATAAGTTGTGGAAGGTATTTCTTATGGGCAATAAATGGGAAATTTGTAATCGTTCCCACAACTTATTGGCCATTGCCCTCGCTCACCATTTGTGCAGGGGGATATTTAGTACTATACTTTAGCGAAAACAATTTAGTCCCAATGGAGATACATAATAAAAGGAGGTTCTAGTTATAAAAAACACGTGTAGAATACACAAAAATAACCTCAACAAGTTGGGTGGATTTTGGTCATATTTATACAGTTAGTTAGTAGTCAAAAAACTTTGGGTTAGTAGCACTCGTTGCGAGGCTTAATCGAGGCATGCAAAAAAGTCTAGTAAGGAGTAGTTCAAGTAGTAGGAAATAGGGAATAAGAGTAGACTATTGAGTGAGTGAGAGAGAGTTAGAGAAAGAGGGTAGAGAGAGAGAGAGACTTTTGATAAAGAGAGAGAGAGAGAGAGAGGAACTGAATGGAACCATACCCGCTGGCCCTCGGGGCCGCTGTTACGACGCAACTGTACGAAGCCCTCCTGGCGCAAGAGCGGCTACCACAGAAAACCAGCAATCAAAACCAAGACCAAAACCAAACCAAACCAAACACGCAACGCACACACAAAATAAGAGGCGAGTGGTGTGTGTGTGTGTGTGTGTGGGGTGTGGCGTGGCGTGGTGGAGATGGCGATGGTAGGTGTGTTGAGTTGTATGGTGGGGGGAAGAGAGAGACGTTGGAAAAACAAATTAACGCAAAAGGCACAGCGCAACTGACCGCAACGCAACATAACCTCAGATCATTTCAAACGAGGCAGGAAAATCCAACTAAAAATTACAAACATTGAAGCTGTTGCTGCTTTTTCTGCATTTGCTTTTCGTTTCCTGTATGTTTCACGCACACACACAAACACACTCCTCGCTTTCACACAACGAACACGGAGCAAACAGCAAACCAAAAACAAAAAACAAACAAAAGCACAGAGTTAAATCCGCCTACCTGGCTAGGCCACACCTGGAGCAGCGGCAGCGAACAGGATGGCTTGTTGTTGCCGGATGACCCAGCGCCAGTGGTGGCTGCAGAACCACCAGCAGCGACACCACTCGGTGGACCCAGACACGCCATGCCCGTCGCCGAGGATGAGGTGCCGGAGCCCTGGGAGAGGCTGGTGTAGTGCAGATGATTGAAGCGCTGCCCATCGCTGCTGCTGGCACTTGCCGCTGGTTTCGTGCGCGTCGGACTCTCATAGCCCGTGGAGTCGTCCGAGGATGTTGTTTTCGGCGACCGCCAGAATCGCTTCAAGCGCAGCTCGCGCCTTTTTTCTTGTTTCTGCAAATGTAAACGTGCAAATTGATTAATGCCTTTGGTTCATCCAATGTTTCTGTGTATACAACCCATATTTCACTTGGGGCTAATTCTCTTTTCTCGCCGAATGTTTGTTTGCATTTGCAGTTGCCGCCAATAAGTGTATTTAAACTTGAAAATAGCGAAAAAGCAGGCAGTGTCCATCGATTTCCATAACAAGACAATATCGATAAAGATATTTAACGAAATATCTTTTGAAATATCACTTGGAAGATCACATTTCTGTATCGATACGGTATCGATAGTGCCATTTTCGCATATCTAATTTTTTTTCGCAACTTGTTGTTTTTGTTGATTTTGTGTATTTTCTCGGTAAATGTTGATTAAAATGTAAACTTATTGTGAAAGCTCTGCAACATATATAAAACACAACAGATGAGCGTGTTTGCTGTCGATGGACACAGCAAATTGCTATTGATATGTTCGATCTTCGTCCAGTGGCCATAAATATTTGCGCTGCTTGCCATTGTGGCACCGCAATTTGGAGCGACCTTCGAAGTTGAGCATTCTTTTTTTCAATTTAAAGTGTGGCACTTGCACACAGCAGTGGAGTGTGGAATGTAGAGTGGCTGGGAGATGCGATGTTCGTTGTTTGAGTTCCTTATTTCGCAATTTGTATGCATGAGAGACTGCCTGGTGTGTGTGTGTGTGTGTTGGTTTTCCGTTAACAAATGTGAACTACCGCGCAATAACAACAATTCAGCGGCGCCACGAGGCGACGTGATGCGGCCGTCGCCATGTTGCATTTACCGATAAGCCGCGCACCGCACCGCGAAACCTTTTGTGTTGCACGTTGTCATTGTTTGCGGTTGTTCCTTGTAGCGTATTGGGAGCACAGCACACACAGCCACAAACGATTTTGTATAGTGGGAAAATTGGAGTGTTTTCGTTCTTTTTTGTTACCTGCATATTTTTGTAATATCAAATCCGTTTTATGTGTTTGGTATTTCATCCCCAGTCCGTTGTGGCGCAAGACGAAAATCGATGGAAAACTGCACAGAGGCATACGTTCTGTAAAAAATAAGTCGAATAAGAAAAGGAAAATATAAATCAGCCAATGCCAAAGAGAGAGAGAGTGAGAGAAAGAGAGAATGTACAACACAAGGGGATAAGCCAGTGGCACAGCAGGAAGAGAATATATCCAGTTAAAGACGAACATGTAACACATTGGTAGGTCCCACAACAGGTGAAGCAAAAGCCCACATGGAGATAAAGCAGATGAGAAGGTCAGCCATCACATGCCCTGGATCTTAAATGGATTGTTAAATGTATCGTAACCAACATTTCAATTGCACTCCCACTCCCACACACACAAAAACACACCCACAAATTTTAAAAGGCTTTTCTTTCATTCGATTTCAGCTGCCACCGAAAAAACAGTCGCAGAAGGAAAGCGCATAAATAAGGATGAGACATGTGTACACATGGCTGTGGGAAGGAAACGTCATTGCTGGCCGTCGACGGCAGCAGGAAACTGTCGCACATTAACACGCTGGCAAGGACAATGGCAATGGCGACGACGCCATTAGTGTTTGACAAGGACATTTCACACACACACCCAGGCCATACACAAAGACACCACAATATGAGGAACAGACAGAGGACGCAGACCTTCCTTCCACACAGAAACACTAGCAATTCCCACACCGCCATGTCATAGTGGTGTGGTCAAGTTGAAGGATATACTGCTTGTGCCGGGATGGAGCAGGAGCTGGCATTGGCAGAATGGACGCATGCCTTGGGACGCCTGAAAGCATAAATCAGCCAGAGTGAGCTCCGTCCCCAGTCCATGCTCTACAGCTTTTCAGTTTGTGGCTGCGCACTTCTGGTCAATAATTAGTTTGTGGCTGAATTGGATTCGTTATTTGAATTGAGTTTTCCTTGCAGTTGGAGCCCGCCCGTCTAATGTGTGGATGTTGACAGCGCAAAGTGCTGGTAAGTGCCTCAAATTATCCTTAATTTACCATTTAAACTTGAAGTTTAGTAATTTCGTTCCATTTGAATTCATTTGCTGCTTTTATTTACCCAAATTTATGCTTGACCAAAAAACTTTTGGCGTTCACTCCAGTAATTTGGCAATCATTTCGTTGATTGCCTCCAAGGACCCTTCAATTGTGGTGTGTGGCCTATACAAATGCTTTTATAGTTTCCTCAACTTCAACAGCCACAATAAACCGGCCACACACACAAACACTCGCTCATTCGTTCGCTCGCAGAGACATCAAGAGCACACCTGGTCGGGTTCTGGCTCTAGTTCTGTTTCCCTCCCCACGCACACACATTGCCATTGGTTGTTGGCCAACTCCTGGTGCGCTTGTTGCATATAGCTGCCGCACAACTCAACTGAAGGACAACACGTGGTTGCCTCAACTTAACGACATTCACGTTTCATTTTTTGTTCTCGAAGTCGGGCAGGAATGGGAACAAAAGTTTCCACCTCTCTCATGTGGTGCGTTGTGTTCTGTTGTGGTGTTGTGTGATGTGGTGTCCTTCAGTGTGCCAGCCCCCACACCTTTGTCAATCGATGTCAACACACGAGTCTAGCGCGAGTCGTTCCCTCGCTCGTTTCGTTCTCATTGCCATTGTCAAGGCCCCACCGCCTAGTTCCAGTTCCACTTTCATTTTGCAGCGCCGTTGGCATTGGCCTGTCTGCGATTTCGAATCGCCAATGCATATCGAGTAATTCCCAGACATAAATCGTTGGCTGTATCGCTGGCTGGCCGGTTGGCCATTTGCGCTGTATAAATATTTAAATGGCGATGTCAGCGTGAGGCGATACTTGAGCTCAGAGCAGACACGATTAAGATCTTTGACAACTTTAGTCTGTTCTAACATAAATCAATATAGTTATGCCCTTCATTTGATGCTGACATATTTATCTGTTAAACATTATTTAACTCTCCCCTTTTTGACCAGTTTCAATATTTTCTTTTCATAGTTAATAAAATGTCCTTTGTCCACTTGCTATCCAACGCCCTTGGATCGTGTCATGGCATAAACTAGGCATCTTCGTGGGGGGGCTGGGCGTCAGATGGGGCCAGAGGCCAAGACAAGACTAAGCAGAGCTGAGCCGAGAACCCAAAACGGTTTCTCCTCCGGCACGCCAGCAATTATACAAATGGGAAGACCCGACTGGCGGCTCTATGTCCTCTGTCCTCAGTTCTCAGTCCTCGCCCGTTCCGCCCATTCGCTTAACTCGCTTTTTGTGTTGAGCGTGACCAAAATTTTTAAATTGAAATAAATTTGCTTGCCTGAGTTTTTGTTTGTCGTTGTCGTTGTCGATGGTTGTCGTTGTCGTTGTCGCTGTTGTCGTTGCAGTTGTTGTAGTCGCTGCTGTTGGTTGTCCTTGCTGTCCTTGCTGGTGCTCCCTTTCCCTCATATCTCCTCCTATATAGTATCGTTATCGTGTTTGCTTAACGTGTTTTTCTTGCCTTGTTTTCGGTATTGTTCCATTTTCGTTGCATAGTTTTTGTATTTTTGTGTTTTTTTATTCCGCTCTTTGAATTATAAACAAATTTTGTTGCCCCCAGGCCAGAGTGTTTCGGTGCTGGCTAATGCCAGAGGTCAGGGCCAGCAGCAGTCCCCTCTGCCGCATCTGTATGGTAGAGTCGGTGTCTTAAGGACACGACCTTACCATCACACTCTTCCTGACAAACATTGACAGCTCAGCCAAAAACGAAGACACTCAAACAGCCCTCAAACTTCTTAAATCATATTTAATTAGCAGCAATTTCGGGGCAATTGTTATAAATAATGCAAGGTGTCTAGGCGGGATGGAGTGGGATGGAGTGGGATGGAGAGAGAGCGAGAGAACGAGAGAGAGTGCCACTAAAGCACAATCCAGACAGAAGCAATTTAAATTTTATTACAAACCATTTAGTCAAAGTGCTGGCAGTATCCTGGCTGTACGCCGTGTTCGCTGTGTGTCCTGTTTGCTGGATATTATTTATGTAGCCCGTGTGGGCTACGCAATGTGTTTTTTTCCGTTCCTTTCTACGGCACTAAACTTTCATGGTGTAAAATATGGTCAGAGGTTGCATACTTGGTCGTCGGCCGACAAAGCCATTTACCTTCTCGTCGCACTGCTGTTCCCTGTTCCCATGTTCCCTACCGCCAGTCGTTCAACTCTCATTGAAGTGGGTCTCTCGTCGTGGCATTGTTTCTACCGTATGAACCTTTGACTTGAGGCATGTCCCTGCCCTAATGGGTTACATCTCCTGGGAGCTAGTCGGCGTATGGTGAACTCTTGCGAGCCCCTACCCGCATTCCCTACCCAACAAAGTGTCCACTGACCCCATGCTAAAGTGCTTTGGTGTGGGATTAAGAACCTTGTTTGAGGTACTTATTAGCTGTTAAGGTCTCTTACCCTTACCCTCATTTGTTAGCCCAAACACCCCGAATTTATTAAGCTTACTCAAAGCTTTTCAAAGGTTCGGGGCTGGGATTGTGGGTCTAGAGTGGGTGTTGTAAAGGTCCCTGCGTAACCTGGACAAACATCAAGAGTGATCCGGGATAATGCTGATTTGATTAATCTGTTTCATATCCTTAACTTGATTTAGTTCATTATTCTAGCTTAAGAACGGATTGCCATAGTTGCAGACTCGACTCTGCCTGCTTGACTTATTCATTGATTCTTTGATTTCTTAGCTTGGCTTTGCTGTATGCTGCAAAATTTGAACAATTTCAGAACTTAATATAAACGTCAGAATGTCGCCTCTGCTCTTACCCTACTCCACGTCCAGTCGCGGCACTACCAAAACCATCCACCAAATGGAAGCCAATGGATGAAGAATTTTTCCACTCAATTGGGCAGCAATTCAACTGGCAGCTCTCGGTCCTCTCTCTCCAATGGGTTTCACTTCTCGATTCATTCTCCTGCAGCCACTTGCCACGCAGCAGAGCTTCCCTTTTCAGAAGCAGCTGCTGGAGCTCTCGAGCTGAATCTGAAGCTGAAACTGGTAGCTGAGAGTAGCTGGTAGCCGGTAGCTGATGCTGCCTCGCCTCGCCTTGCCTTGCCTTGCCTTGCCTCTTGGCGTCTGCTTTATGCAAAAGCAATTAACTTAACTTTTATTCTCCCACCTCTTCAGGTATTCCTTTTTTTTTTGTTGCCCACTGGCTTCTGTGTGCAAACCCAATATGAAAGTGGATTCCTCCTGCTGAAAATTTGCATGAGAACGCGATGGCAGCCCGTCCACAGAGACAGCACTTCCAATCGTTGACTCACTTTCTAGCTGCCATTTTGGGTTACGTTACGTTACGGTGTGGTGTGGCTTTTCTGGCTTTTTGTCGTATTAACGGTTTAGCACATTTTATGGTCGAAACGTGACATTTTCTGGTCAGAGTCTCGCAGCTGAATCGGAAAGCGTTGGTTGCCCTTTTGTTTGTTTGGACGAGGAGAGTCCTACGTTTCATTGTTTTCTGTTGCTGTTGCCCCTAAAACTGCACTTGATTTGTAGTGGCTATAGCGTGGCAGGATAACAGCTGTCGTTGGATACCCTTTGGAATGGGCTAGTCCAATAAAGTTGTCCAGCTGCGGCTCCTGAGTCCGTCCCCCCAACTACTTACAGCTGTCAGAGAGCTGACACTTTGGGCTTTTACCAAGAAGACATCGGAGGCCTTTCTTTATTGACTTTTCAATTACTGCCAGAAAGTAACGTTTATGTAAGGAGAAGGCGGCAACGAAAAGTTTCTTTAAATTTAAAGTTATGCCAGTGGATATTTGATGCTTCAACCTGATCCAAATAATGAATTTGCAAATGCTTTTCAGGGCATCAAAAGTTCACCCAGTGGCGACGCCACAATGCGGTTGAGGTTCAGATTCAGGTTGCCGGTACTCGTGGCGGCGACTCGTGCTGTTCAGCTCTGTGCACGTTGTAGTTGTGCTGCTTGCTGGTGGCCATTGTCTACGTGGCAGGACTTCCGCTGCTGTTGTCGGCTGCTGCGGTGGCTGCGGCAACCGGAAACGCCAAACACTTTCCGGTCACGCAGTCACGAGGTTTCCCTCTCAGCTGTGCGCTCCATGGTCTCTCCCTCCCCGTCCCTCACACACTCACACAAAGAGTCTCGAGTAGTCACTTAAGCTTAAGTGTTGTTGTGCGCCAACCATTTTGTGGCCACAACAACACTAACACTAAAAACTACACTAGCAATAAGGGCAACTCAATTTCTATGCGTGGCACGGCGCCACTTTTGGCGACTGCCAAGATGGGAGCAAAAACTTTTGCCACTCGCCTTCTTTTTGAATTTGCAATGTGCCAAAATAAGTTTTTAATTGAAAAGAGCTTAAGCAGGCGCAACCAGAGTCAATGGCCGTATAAAGGGGGGCACCAGAAGGAGCTGTAGAAGTCCATCAAGGTCTGCAAGCCAGAAGTGCCAAAAATTAGTGCCAGTGTGTCAGGATATATCTGTGCCACACCTGTGCATCTATTGTGTTAAAGGTTACGAGAGCCCAAATCCCAAAGGTTATTCAGTTGCCAAATCTGTCGTTCCATCTGTCACACAGGAGAAATGTTCAACAGAAGCCAGAAGCAGAAGGCATTTGTCATTAAGCATACGCCACGTTCTCTCACTCCCTATGTTTGATTTACAGACCACACACAAATCATTATCGATTATTATCAAAGTCATGTGTACGTACTATAACGAGCATATTAGATTTAACGTTCAGTCCATTAGCTTAAACAACCTTCGATTCGATTCGAGTCGCTTGGAGTCGCCCGCTTATGGCCAGCCATTCCTTTGTGCCTTGGGGTGTTAATAAGCCAAATGTCAATGTGTTAAATGTGCCAAAGGAGGGTGCAACTTGGATGGTTACACGACGATGAACGCCCGACGTTAGAGCTCAGTCTCGTGTGAAAATTCAATAAAAAATAAACACCAAGAAAACAAAGAGAAAAACAAAGACGTGTCCAGGTGCGAGCGTCAACAGTTGGCGA